GTATGGTAGTGTGCTGTCGGCTCTGTCTGTAATGATGGACGAGCTGCGTTGGACAGATTATGTAGCGGTGCACAGAGGGTGATAGACCAGAAGACCTGCTTCTGAACCTTTACTGAACAGCGCCCTGTGATTGAACGTGCTGCTTTGAGGGGTGGTCTCAAGAACGGCCGAATCCCATTGCGTGGGCGATCGAGCGATCCTTTTAAGGGGACGGGTAAGCTGCTCGGGGTTGGACTTGCCACCTCTGCTACCTTCACACTCAAACACCTAAAGCCACGCCTTCTTGCCACAAATGGGGACCATAACGCGGCCAGCATTTGGTCTGAAGGGCGTCGAAACACTGAATGCCGTGCCTCAACAGCAAGAGGTGCACAATGCAGATAACCCAGGTATCGGCGGATTACGATCAACATTCGCCAAATGGCCAAATGACTAGTCGTCGTTGAACAAGAGCGACCGACATCGTGTTGGAAGACGCTCAGGCTCGAGTTAAAGATGTGCAGGTTGCTGGCGGCCCACGGGGCGCTCGACTATCGCTGGCGCCGAGTAGACTTGAAGGGCGCCGGCGGCGCCCAGTGGCGGCGCAATGACCAATGATACTGGCCTGACGTACGTGCCTGGACCGTTTCCTTCGCATCTTGAGGATGCGTGCTACCCAGCGCAGCTGATTGGACTGAATCACGGCAGCACTCATTCACGATTGTCGTCACCATCTAGAGACCTAGCGTCGGGTCCGTGGTGTGCAAGTTGGTGCTAGTGAGCACGAAGACTTGCGCTGTTCGTCTCGGTATCGTCGATGCGACTCGGCGCACGTGGATTCATTGGCGTCAGATACGGCCCCCACGGCATGATTCACTCTTGACTGCGCGCCTAAAGTACCCTCGCTGCACCTATTGCGTTGGTGTTGGGCGGACTGGCTGCTCCCTGGGAGGGTCTCACTGGCAGACTCTAGGTGGCTGGCCCATCCGTTCTTGCACGCACGCTGCGAAGCGTTGGGAGTCTCCAGCATTGTGCGGGCTTTGGTACAACGCCAGCTAAGGATGTATGCTGAAGCGCCATTCTGATCTAGCCACAGACGGATGCAGCTCGCGCAAAGGCTGCATTCCGTTCAGGCTTTGGCCGGCTTCGATAGGAAACATGAAAGACGCTTGTCCGACGCATCTGCGAACGTGACTGATCTCCCAACTCTGCAGTCACGAGTGGTAGCGGTGGCTTGATGGAGGCTGACTTGGGAAGTAAAGCGTCGACTTTCATCCAGACTCTTCAACACCAACATCAGAAGCGTCTGTGACGTGACGCTTGCCAAGAAGCATCTAACGCGACCTTAGGGCAAAGTTGCAAGATATGGCGTACGCTACGTGCGCTAGCGCAAACCTTTTTCGTGCCTTTTGCCGTTTTGGAAAGTCATCGCCGGCGACTTCCAGCAGCACTTTGTTGCATGCACATCCATCCAACTCTTTTTCACATGACACTCACCTGGCCTTCTTGCCCTCTTGATTGCCATTCGGTTACGGAGCTCAGCAGAGGCGTGGGACAAGAGTCGTCGCAGACCATGCCTTCTCCTGCCGTGGTCTATATCAAGCCCTTCGAGGCATGCAGCCTGACTTGACTCAAGACTCTCTGCAGGTCACGTGTTTACCACGCGAGCTGACCTCCGACTTTGGGGCATTGTGGTTACGGATTCAATCTTGAATCAGATTCACAATTTTGGATGCTCTCTTGATTCCGATTGTTGTCTTTAAATCAAATATAAACATTCAATTTAAATTGATACTTCGGATCTTCTCGGATGCGCCGAGGTGCACACTCACCGATACCATCTACTCTTGACAGCACACCACTCGCAGACTCATTTGAGTCACAGTCGAAAGGAGCGGCCGGACACGCGCGCAGGGGTGCCAGAACCTTCGATTGTCTCCCTCCACCCTTCCAATTTCCAGCTCGACAGGAGAGCAAGGGTTGAGAGGCTGTGCGTAACATCGAACGTAAAAAAAAAAAAGTTCATCGATGCAGCCGGGATCATATCAATCTTGAAGTCGTGATTATGATGAACGCATACTGGCCTGGCATCATTCAAAATTCTGATTCGAGCGATCGAGGGGCGCTTAAGCGATCCAAGCTGGTGACCGCGCGATTCACCTTCCTCGCCCCATCATCTTCTGATCCCAAAAATCAAATCCTGCGCGTAAGGGTGAGTGAGCACCGGGCGTCGGCTCGCGGGCAAACATTGGCGGCGTTTGCGTCGGTGGATCTGTGCGCAGCCATCAAAGCGTCAAAAAAGGTTGCTTTGCAGTCAAACAATCTGAAGCACAATCATCACAATAATGGATGGCATGGGGCCGGCTCATCACCTGACGTGCAGGAGCAGAGCCGAGCATGAGGCGCCGTAGCGCGGAGCCTGCTCCTGCGGCCCCATAATCTCAAAAGATCGAATTGAATGCTTGGGATGCCATGCCATTTAAATCAACATGCAAGCTGCGTGCGCTGCTGCCTGCTGCATGCAGACTTGAATTTTAGCGTTCCTGGCTTGCCTTTCAGCGTGACCTTCGCTGCAGCTGCAGCTGGGGCTGCTGCTGCATGCAAGTGCGCTTGGACCGATTCGACCAACGCAGCATAGGTTGCTTGCTGCTGCTCGCGGCCAAAGTTTTTT